ATATTATCCTATAAAAATTAGTAAAAGTTATGCAATTTTTGGTTCTCTTGCATTTAAATAATTGGACTGGTATATTAGTGCTTACTAGAATCAAATGTAGAAGAGTGCAAGACCTCTGTCTGTGTGCTGGAGACCCACAGCAGTGTCCTGTGAGCCTCCATATCAAGAGGCTGAGGGATTTGTGCTGGGAGACCAAAGGATCTGTACCAGAAAGGCCCAAGGGTCAGTGCTTGAAACTGAAGTATTTGTGCAAAAAGGCTGCAGGATCTGAGCATAGAGCTGAGGGATCTGCACTGGAAGCCAGGAGACACTGTCCACAATGAAGATGAAAGTTGAAACTCCCACAAAGAAAGCAGCTGCCAAAGCTCCTTTGAAGGCAAATCGCTGAAACTCTCCTGAAGAAAAGCAGCTGCAAGGACTTGTCCAAGGAAGATCAGCTGACATCCTTCCCTCCAGTTTCTTTTATACAGTTCTGACCTCAGGCCTCCTCATGTGGGTCGTCTACACACAGAACTATGCGGACTCAATTTAGTTGGGCGTTTCCTGCTCAAATTGACAATTAGTCCGTTAATCACAACAAATGTTAAGTAGTTAATCTCAGCCTCTCTAAGCAAAATCTCAGAACATGAACAAAATGTAGACAAATTTTCTGCCACGGCGTAACACACATAGCCAAGAATCCAACTGCCGGTGGAGTCCTTGTTCTCAATCGAAACCTTCTGAACCTGCATTTCTGTCAGCAGTCGAGTTTTCTGAGCTCTGACCAGAATCTCCCATCAAGCTCAGCTTACAGCATTCTGGAGATTCTCTGATCAGCATCTCCAAATTTTTCTAAACTTTTTCTGTGAGCCAGTTCCAAACTCTTCTCAACCACCTGGTCAGGTAGTCTCAGCAGTGACCCCACTCTAGGTACTGAAATTTGTCTTTGTCACTGTCATTACTGAGACACACTACCTGACATAGACAACTTAAAGAAGAGGTTTATCTTGGCTCACTGTTTTTAATGGATTCAATCCATACTCAGCTGGCTCCAAGACAGGAATAGCATATGGGAAGAACCTGCATGGAGGTAAGCTGCCTTCATTATGGAGGTCGGGAGGCAAGGACAGAAAGAAAGAGTAAGGGAGGTGAATACACTCTTTTGCGTCACGCCCCCTGGCTCTTCTGATCAGGGCTTACCTTCTAATGTCACAATCTGATATAATCCTCTTTGGTCCAATTACTTTGCCAAAGCCCTGCCTCTGGGCATATGAGAGTTTTGGGAATCATTCTTGATTCAAACCATAACAATATCCATCTGGCACACTATCCTTTTACCATTTTCCAGTCCAATTATTCAAATACAAATACAAGTTTCCTGAATAATGCTTGGGGTAAACTGTTCTGTTATTAATATAAATGACAAATGGTTAATATAAATAGCAAGTCTATATTTAATGGTAAATGTGCTATGAACTGAGAAGTGTTATCATTAATGCCACATCCAGACAGATCCAGCAGTTAACATAATATGGGACTGGGATTGTCACAAGTGATAACATACCAAGACTGCTTAACCAATATCTCAAGAGGGCATTAAACCTATAATTTGATTAATATAGAATTATATATAATAAATAACTAGAGTATGTAACAATAATTTACTAACCAGTTGAAATGAACAGTTTTTAATTACATAAATAATAAAAATAGCAAAAGTAATAGCTCATGTTTATTAAGGTCTTGCTAAGTGCAAGGCATATAATGAATACAGAGATCATCTCAGTTCTCTTAGCAACCTATGAAACAGATGATTTTGGTTTTAATTTACATATGGACAAATGTGGCTTAAAAAGCTTCTTATATAGTTTGCTAAAGTTCACACATGAATACATATACTGTGGAGCTAAATTGTTAAGGAAAACCATGACTTTTTATTTCACATGGGGAACTTTAAAACTAAAAACCAGTGCCAAAACCTCACTCTCAGAAATTATTATTCAATTGGCCAGTGATGTAGGTCTTTTTTTTAATTTTAAAAATGAAACAAAAGATAGAAATGAGATAAAATTTCAAAAAATAGGAAATTAACATGTTAATATATTGTATATTGTTATCTTAGAAGTAGTTGTTCAGGCTACAAGATTTATGCATAAAAATGATAAACAATAAAAGCACAAACTTCTTTTAGATGGACTTAGAGATTAGTAGTATAGTTATCTATCTTGTGTATATATACATATACACAATATACATATAATCTTTTCCCTTCTTTTCTCCTTTCCCCTATCCCAGTTGTTCTTGCCTTTTGAGCACTTTCTTTTCCTTTCATTTGCACAATATCTATTGTATATTTTTGGATCTATGGATGTAGGTATGTTTTTTTTAAAGGCTACCTAGTGATTTCATTGTATAGCAAGTTAGGAATCACTTAACTGGAGGCACACTACTGACAGTTCGCCTTTGCCCTGCACTTGTTCCCTGGCATTAAAAAGAAATGCTAATGATTATGTAGCTTGAAAGAATAGTTTTGAGATTTATTTTACTTGCTCTATCCTCTAAGCATTGTCCTTATTTATGTAGTCTCCATTTACCTCACTTATTCTGCCTACAGACTCACTGACTATTGTCTCCTGGAATGTTTCAGGATGTTGGCTTTGTGACAGAGGAGTCATGTTTTATCTCTGCAAATGCATGCATATCTAGATAGAATTGCTTTTGCCAGAGCTTCACTGTTCTTTTTGTAAAGCGTCTTTCAAATAGTTATTCAGGTATAAATTACATTTTCCAATTTTCTTCTCAGCTATAGAAATACACGATAGGACCTAGTTGGTTAATTTTTATTAAATGCTTCAGTTTGTTAGTTTTATATAATGATGTAAGAATATTTATTAAAAGGTACAGTTAATAAGTTTAAGGGATCAGATATTTTAACACAGTCAGAAAATTATATATAACTGGATTTTGATCCACTCACTGTGCTGTATTTTAAATCATAATTATTTACCCTTGTGCCATTTTCAATCCAAGCATCATCATTAAAACTATTTCCTGTAGAAAATGGGTAAAGAACATTAATATGTAATGCAGAAAGAATGGACAGAAAAGAGGAATATAAAGAAGTTTAACATCCTCAAATGATTCAAGAGACGTAAAGTTTTGCATATGAATTACCAACAATATTTTCATAGAATTTCATATAATAGATGTAATATAATTTATAAGTGTATTATTTTTACTGTCCTTGTCCTTGGTATAATGCAAGCTCCATAGGAAAGGAATTTTATCTATTTTTTTAGGGACATATTGTAAGAATTCAAACCAGCATCTATCATGAAGTAGAGAGCCAATAGTAAATATGAGTTAAAAGAAGTAATTGTGCAATGAATCAAAGATTTAAAATTGTGTGTGAGTGCACACGTGTGCATGCACGTGTGTGCATAGCATTAACATTGATGTGATGAACAGGTAATTAATCATTTTGCACTGGCAGGTTTGTAAATTGGTACAGTGTTTCTGAAGAGCAATCTGTGAAGAGATATCATGTTTTTATCAAATATTTATTTTATTTGAATTATTTATTTACTCTTGTAGAGTTACACTTCCAGGAAATAGTTCAGGGCAGATTTATAGACAGAAAACTCTAAATGCTCTATTCTAGCATTGATATCCAGATAAGAATGATAAAGTAGCAGAATGTTACATAAAATATGGCATTTATCTTTCTTTCAAAACAGACCAAATGATATAAAGATGAAGTAATATAATGTTAAATGAAGAATAGAGGGTGAGTGAGTAATGGAGCATGGTGCCAACTTTATAAAAATTAGAGAGAGAGAACAAATTAAATAACTATACTGAAGTATTAGTAATGATCGTATCTGGGAGGTGATACTAAGATTGGTTCTAATTTTCTTTGTAGTATCATGAAATGCACATTCCTATATGAATATGTACCAGCTTACTATTCCGAAAAAGTCTCATTTACAAAGTTGTCTTTGCCACTTGTCAACTCTGAAGGTATATGAAAGAATATATTGGAATACTACCTCCACAAGAGCAAGACTTGTTCATCTGCTTCATTCAGTGATAGTGTTCCTATGCTTAGAATATTGTTTGAAATATGATGCACTTATAGTTTTTAATAAATAATGCTTTCCTCTCTAACATAAATTTTCGAGTTTGATAGAAAGGAAATAGGTCACCTCTGTTAAAAAACAGTGTTTTGCAGTTAGTCTAGTTGTCATGAATAGTGTGTGTGTATTCATAGCACATCTTCTTTCCTTGGGAGATATTCTCTTTATATGGACATAGAATGATATTTGGAATTTGCTCAGTGGGGAAGAAAGTGACCAATGAATGGAAGATTTTGATGTTAGTATGCACGATTTCTTTCTTGTTTTTTACATAGATGAAACTTTTTATCTCTAGTTAAATGTCTATAAATTAGTGTTTTGGACTTAATAAAACTTTAATAGTTAACCAATAAGCAAGTGTTATTTTTTCCCAGTACTAAAAACTGACCCATGGGCCTCACACGTGTGAGGCTAATACCCCTTACCACTGCACTACAGCCCCACCCCAGCAAGGGTTCATTTGTTACTCAGAAGCATTATTTTTAGTCCTGTCATTTAGAGAAGACAAAGGGATATAAGAATTATCACAGACTGACTACTGATACTATTCTGGGGTGCAAAGCTTATTGAGAAATGACATTTGTCCAAACATACAAGACACTGCTCTACTGTGTGTCAATGGATTTCACAAAGGAAATGTTTCAAGTAACTTTTGGCATATAGCATGCAGTTTAAAAATAAAATTGATTATGCAAATGGAAATGTGCCTAAAGTTTTATCTTTTTAAAATAATTTTTGGGGAGGTAAAATAGAATATCAAGGGCTTAAGTTAAGAGTATAGGAAAAATGTAATAATACGCTGTGATTCAGTATTAAATAACACAGTATCAGTGACTACAATTATTTGAATATTTAACACAAAATTCTTGTTTATGTTTTCTCTAGGATTCAGAATTTCCAATAGTGATGCAATCAAATCTAAATTTGAATTTAAATAAGGAAAATCTTTGTCCACCGAAATTCGACTACAGATTGAATAACATCTTTAGACTGCACGAACTTCCAGTGAGCTGGTAGGATTCTTGATGTTTTATTAATTCCTTTGAGATTTTATTGTCACGTCTAAATTGTGCAGATCTTACTGTAATTCATGGTCAGAGTGCCTTGCTCTTAGCCTGTTCTCAAATTATTACTCAAAACCATTTTTAGTTTCTACAAGAATTTTAAAATTAATTGGTTTAGGCACTTGGTGGCAGTGCAGACTAAGTACATTGTTGTGTAGTATTATTGTGAAGGTTAGAGATCTGATTTAAAATAATGCACGTATCATTTTAGAGAGAGTTGTAGAACTATTTTAAAGATGGGACCTCAACAACTAAGCATTTCACTTGTTCATTTTACTTACAGATTTTACCTATGTATGCTTTCTCCATTAATAGATCTTATCTCTTTTTTAAAATCATAATTTCATGAATTGTAATTACACTGGCATAAAGACAAAATTTATTGCTTGATGTTTATATGATATACTGTTTTATAGATCTGCATATTTATATGATAAAATGTATTCTGAATCTTTTTTAAATTTATAATACTGTAGTTCAGATTATAAAAAATATTTCTGTGGGGGAATCTGCATCTATAAATCTTAGAATACAGTTCCATGACATGTTACAGTTTAAGCAAATGGTCAGCTTTGGTTGATAATCATGAAATGTCATTAGATTACACTTCAAATAAGTAACATTTTCTTGTATTTGGTCATATAATCCAAAGTGTATTTGTAAGTGATCTTCAGCAACCCGTGATTATACAAAATTTGCAGCAAACTTCTTGTTCCTGTTATGCTTAGAGATGATTAATGTCTTGGAATAGATATTAGCAAGTTCTAACACCTTACTTGAATTTTACCTGTGGTAAGTATTTTGCTCATTTATTATGTTTCCTCTGCTCTTTGTGTTCTTATATGTGTAATCTTCTTCTAAAAAATGATTTGCTTTATATCCTGGTAACAAGAATACTCCTGTGATATATGCCTTAGCTATGATATGATCTTAGCGTTTGTGATTAAAAATCTACAAGTTAATAACTGAAATAGCATGTTAGTACATAAAGGGAAGTGTAAACATGATACAGGATGCCTTTGTGTTCTCTTTTCTCTTAAAAGAGGTATGTACGTTTGTATGTCAGTTTTTTGACAAAAGCTTAGGACTTGTTCTTTAAGTGTTCATTGGCTAGAATTCCACATCATATTGCTTGCAGAAGGTGTGGCAATAATGTGTCATCTACAATTTCAACCTGTGATTTCTTTAATTTTATATAAGAACTTCAGGCATGAGGAAGATAACTTCCACATGATTGATAATGTTAATTTAATTTTTATTAACAGAAATTCTGTTTATCATGCTTATATTTAATCACCTTAATTAATATTTAATTACATTACAGTAACAAACACAATGACCTCACACAGACATTTAGTAACAAACTGCTTTGACTCTTTGTAATTATGGAGCTTGATGGTGGGAATAGCTGCTGGTTGACTTGGCCATGACTGAGAGCTCTAAGCAGTGGAACGCAGGGGGCACGGCTTGTGCATTTCGCAGAGAGAATGGGAAGAGATGGGCAATCTGGTGACTAAGTGGAAGTGCAGGGAAAAGCTTTTAGTAAACGCAGATATAGTGGAGAGAAAGAGGGAAACATTTAGCTTCCACTCAAAGACAAAATCCGGATGTCAGCCTAATTTATTTCCAGACTTTGAAAAGACAGCTGTCTAATAACTACTGTTGCAGCCCAGGGAAAAATTTCTCCATCATAATCTTCACTAGTTAGTCCATTAGGAGAGGAGTGTCTTGCGTCAAGTGTTGGGCAGCAGAACCAGTAGTAGGAAGAATACTCACTAATGTTTTAGGGTCACATATCTCAAAGAAAGCTTAAGTTACGGTTTTGGGGATAAGTCATTTACTCTGGCCTTTTTTTCACTTGTGTACTTCATTTCCAATTTGTTCCAGTTTCTGTTTCTTCATCACCATTTGTTCTTTGCCATGTTTGTATTTCTCCCACCAGCTTTATCACTTTCTTTGTATCCTGTGCTACCAATCCTTACTATAAAAGTCAATTTAAAATTTTGTTTCATTATTTGCATAATCTTGATTAATTTTAAAACCATGATGTGATCACCCAGTACAGGTGTACAGTACAGTGTTTTGGTGCTTAATAGTTCTTTAATAAAATGTTTAATGGCTCAGTTATTTATTATTTATTTTTGCAGTGCTGGATATTGCATATCTCTGACACCCCATAAAACATTCTAAAATGGTCATGAATTTACTTTATTTGTTTACCAATTACCATAGGTGGAAAGAAAGTTCTTTACTATGGTATGTGGATTCCCCAACTTCAAACATATAATAATAATTACAATGATAAAAGAAAGAATATAAATAGTAACTGTTTTGGTAAGCACCTAGACATGTTAAGATTCATCTGCTTTGGCCATACCATCTGTCACTTTCATAATTCAATAAAGTAGATGTTATTACTAGTTCTTCCTCTCTCTTTTTCACATATACACATGAGGCCTATAAATCTTGAAAATCACAGAGAAAGAATTTGTATCATATTTGTTTAACTCAAAAGCAGTGAATAAGCTACATATTATTTAAAAATTTTTTTGAGAGAATACATCTCTGTTTTTACAGCTGGACACACAATTTATCAGTAAGATATAATGATATGTCTTATGAGTGAAGTTGAAAGCCTTTTTTATTCTGTTAATAAGCATAGTCTAAGATAGTTGTTATAAATTTAAATATTAAAATAATTAGATTGTGTTTGAGCACAGAATTTGCTAATTACTTGTTTTGTCTCTGGAAAACATTTATCAAGGTATAGTTTTTAACTTTTTCTAACAAGGTCGTAATAAAATAAATGCATATTAAAATCCAGATAATATAAAAATTCTTAGTGTCTTACTAATTTGCATTTTTATAGAGTATAATTTCATAGGTCAGAGAACCAGGATTTTAAATTAGATTAGTTAAGAGAATTTTTAAACTCTGACTTAAGTAGATGTCCTTCTACTCTCTTATAAGATGGTTCCTATCAGCCTAGAAAATGTTCTGCAGTAACTCCCATTAGTTTAACCAAACTTCCTTTTTTTCTCACCAAAGCTGAGATCTTTGTTCATGCCCTGCTTATTTTCAGTAAAAAGTTAATTGAAGCGCTAACTGATCTCACAGAAGATTCATGCTCTTATTCTCCCAGGGGCGTCCTGGTGCTCTTATTGACTCCTAGACTGGTTCTTGAGCACATTTTCTGTGTTCAAAATACCTAACAAGCTGTTTCAGATTATTATGTCCAAGAAAAAACTTGATGTTCCCAGAAAAACCTGGTCTATCCTGCACTTTCTCCTCTTTCAAGGCCGCACCTTTTGTAAATTTACACAAGCTAAAAACTCGGGAGTTATCTTGATTTCTCATGCTGTCACGTTGCAGTTTCCATCAGGAAATCTGCAGTAAGCCTGACATGGCCTTTCTCTAGAATAATCTTTCCCTCTTTTCTCTATCTGTATTTTTTATCCTCTTGCCAAAGTCTATTGATTTACCTCACACTGGGTTACTCACGTCATAGTAGCTAAAATGATGTTTTAAAAATGTAAATAAGACTGTGGATGCTTTTTCCCTTTAAATAGAGCAGTATTTCTCCCTTATGTCAAAATATGCAGACTTCCTGCGTGGCCTGCCTGGCTCTGCAGAGTGAGACCGGTCTGCTGTGCTGCCTACTTGTGCTCCTGTTTCTCTTTCCCAGCCTTTCAACCGCCCCAGTCTTCTCACTAACCTGCACATGAGATGTACCGCATTTATGCTTATATCTTCACACTAGGTCTTCTGTGTCCGAGCAGTGTCAGTTTTCTAATGTCTGCACGTCTGTCTCATTCTTATCTTTCTTAGCAGAAATGTCACCTCCTAGAGAGGCAGTTTCCTCAAATGTAACTAATATTTTACTCCTCATTCCTGCAGTCACCTTTATTCCCATCCTTCTAGATTCTTTCTTTCATGGCTCATAGTAAGCATGAAGAAGTATATATTTTAAAGTGTTTTATGAAAAAGAAGAACATGTTTTCCTACTTTCCGTCTGGAGAAATAGCACTGTGGCTGTTCTCTGAGTATATTGGAAGAGTACCTTCCCGAGACTGCTGCAGTGAATTTGGCATGTGAATAAAACTGAGCGGAGGTACTGTGACGTGAAGCCTCTCAGCCCCAGAGGGACTTTTGGCTCCCTTCAGCTGAAAGCAAGGAATTTTGAAAGTGCTCAGCCATGTGATAAAAGTAGCATGTTTCCTTGAGTGGTCTTTCCTTGGAAAGTTCCCCAGTTTTACTAAACTTTTATATCCCAGACTAATGCTGTGTATACTTGTGAAGTTACATGAGATAGACTATGTAAAAAGCATGAAAAATAAATCTTTAAAAAAAAGATTGAAGGGACTTTCACATTGACTCATTCATTAAACAAAAATTTCTTGAATTGCACTCAGATGCCATTCTGGGCAACTAACTAACTAGAGAAACTCTGTTCCAGAGAGCTTACATTTATTGGTGGTAACAGTGAACAAACACAGATGGCAAAGGTATTGTATTTGATGGCCATAAGTTCTGCAGAGAAATTCAAAACAAGACAGAAGGACACTGACTACAGAGGGCTACAGAATTGAAGAGAGTGGCCTGAGTTTTTCTGAGAGAGGACATGCAATGAGCACCAGAGGTGTGTGAGGAAGTGGGATATGTAAATAAGCAGAAAGAAAATCAAGCTCAGAGTGAGCAGCAAATGCAAAGTCCGCAAGGTGGGAGCACCCCTGTGTGTCCTTAGGCCTGTGTCAGCAGTGTTCCATGCATTTCCACCGAAACAGGCACCAGAAAGCAAGTGGCTAAATAGCTTTTAGGATTAAAAAATGGGCATTATCATGGGTCCATAGGAGCTTGATTGTTCTGTTGTTTTGCTTGTGAATTACATATATTTTCACAAGATTAAAATTGATATTTTAAAATGTGAATTTAGAAATTAATAATTAAAG